ACACATGACATACCACACGTATTCCTGCTCTGAACCCCCAATATTCTGAAGATGTCCTCAGAAACGTGCAGGCATGATGAATAATAGTTCATTTTCCTTTTGGTATCAGTCAAGGTCAACATTACTGTGGCCAGCGCTCTTGTTAGGTTGAGCTGGTCAATGGTGGCTGCTGGGATGGATTATATTTACTGAGTAATAATTGTATAGAGCTTCAGATTGATGCTAATCACTGGTAATTGTGTGGGTACCTCTGAATTTTTAAACGGTGTAATAAAATGCAAAGCTTTCCTTTCTTCCTAAAACATCTTCCCAAACCAAGATTATGTAGGTTCCAGTTTGAGTTCTACCCACTTAATTTTCCTCTCTGCTTTAATGCTTGAAAAGTTAGCCCAAACATCCATGAAGGAACCAGGGCAGCAAAAATCAGCTGGGTGGTGAGGCTGATAACATTTGCTGTAGTTAATACTTACCGTGCATTTACCATGGTCCAGTAAGAGTGCTCTATGTCTGCATTCATTATCTTAGTTTCTCCTCCCAACTACCCCAATATCATTATATTCATCACAAAGATAAAATCCGAGGCCCCGATACTTTGCCCAAGATCACTCATTAAGGAACAGAGCAGGTATTCCAACTTAGATCTTAATGACAATAAAATCTGGACTCTTGAACATACGGTGTTTTCTCATGAGGTATGCCCTTGAATTGGCCCTCAGATCCCCCCATCTCTACAGATGCTTCTTCCCTCGCCTGGGCCGGGCCCCAGCACCTACTCATAAATTGTTGCTTGGGACTCGCAGGCACCAGCTGTGGTGCTAGATGAATCACCAGCAGGAGCTGAAGGAGCAGCACAGGCTTCATGCTGCTGGCAGGATGGTGGTAAGTCCTGGCTGAGGACTGCTGGGTTTGAACAGGCGCAGGTTAGGGGAAATGAGAGGGAAGGAGGGAAAAGAGAAGGCATGCTGTGATTGGTTTTTTAGGGTGTATTCCAATCTATCTGGAGGGTTTGGCAGAAATCCAAGCTCCTCCTGACCACACCCACTCCAGGATGTGGTATCGTTTTCAAATCTACACCCTTTTCATCCGCCTAAGCTTAACCTTGTTATTTCTCTCATCCAAGTCTTGTTAATGTTCTTTCACAAAACTTTGTAAGTTTTCCATGTCTTTGTTATATTTATTCCTAGAGGCTTGAATCTTCAAATGAAATCGTAAATAGTATTGTAACTCTTTTTAAAAAAATATATTTTATTGATTTTTCACAGAGAGGAAGGGAGAGGAATAAAGAGTTAGCAACATCGATCAGTTGCCTCCTGCACACCCCCTACTGGGGATGTGCCCGGAACCAAGGTACATGCTCTTGACTGGAATTGAACCTGGGACCCTTCAGTCCGCAGGCCGACGTTCTATCCGCTGAGCCAAACCAGTCAGGGCAGTATTGTAACTCTTTGGTTATTTGTTTTCATTTGTTATTTTCAATAATATAACATTATCTCAGCTTCAGGTGTACATCCAATGATTAGACATTTATATAACTTAGCAAGTGATCATCCTGATAAACCTAGTACCTAGATATACAATTATGTGTATATTTTCTGTATTGCTGGGGGTGTAACACCGGGTACCATAGAGAGTTATTACAATATTATTGATAATATTCCCTACGCTATGCTTTACATCCCCATGACTATTCTGTAACTATCAATTTGTACTTCTTAATCTCTCCCCCTTTTTAACCCCCAAACTCCCTTTCATATGGCAACTATCAAAATGTTCTTGCCCTAACGGGTTTGGCTCAGCGGATGGAGTGTTGGCCTGCGGACTGAAAGGTCCCAGGTTCAATTCCCGTCAAGGGCATGTACCTTGGTTGCGGGCACATTCCCAGTGGGAGGTGTGCAGGAGGCAGCTGATCGATGTTTCTCTCTCATCGATGTTTCTAACTCTCTATCCTCTCTCTTCCTCTCTGTGAAACATCAATAAAATATGTTAAAAAATGTTCTTTGTATTTATGATTTTGTTTCTATTGTTCTTGTTTATTTATTTTGGTTTTTAGATTCCACACACAAGTGAAATCATATGGCATTTGTCTTTCTCTGTCTGACCTTATTTCACTCAGCACAATACCCTCTATGCCCATCCATCTTTTTTTCAGTTTACTATTTAAAAAAAATCTTTATTGATTAAAGAGAGGATGGGAGAGGGGGAGAGAGATAGGAACATCAATGATGAGAAAGAATTAGTGATAGACTGCCTCATGCACAATCAGGGATAGAACTCACAACCCAGGCATATGCCCTGACCGGGAATTAAACCATGACTTCCTCATAGGTCAGTGCTTACCCACTGAACCACTGTGGCCAGGCCAGTTTACTATTTTTAAGGAATTTTACATCTATGTTCACAACGGAACTGGGCCTGTCACTTTCCTTTCTCGTATAGTCCTTGCCTGGTTTTGTAGCAAGTTTACACTGACCTCAGAGAATGTGCTGAATCACAGTATTCCCACCCGCTTTTTAAAAAAAAAAAAAAAAATTAATTCTTTGGAATTTTTTGTGCAAGATAAAGATAATTAGTTACTTGATTCCTTAATTCCATTTTTTCTTGCACAGATATGTTCATGTGCACCTTGCTATTGTCATTCAGTAATATATCCAGAGTTCCCTTTTCTTATTTATGGCTGCATTCTATGCCTCCATGTTTACACATCTTAGTCATTCAACCAATCTGCCATATATGGGCATTTATGTATTTTCCAAGATTTTGCTATTACAAATGTGCTGCAATAAACAATTATGTGTATATTTTCTGTATTGCTGGGTCAAGTTCTAAAAGTGCAATTGCTAGTTAAAAGGATAAAGTCATATGTAGTTTTGTGACATATTGCCAAATTTTACTCCATAAAGGTTGTACCATTTTGTATTGCTACCAACCTTGTGAACATGTGTTTCCCATAACAAAATGTGTTGTCATGCTTTTGAATGTTTGCCAAAATGATAAGTGAAAATGTTATCTCTGCAGCTGTTGAGGTTCATTCATGTTGTAATATGTATCAGTACTTTATTCATTTTCATATCTGAATAATATTCCATTGTATGTATATACCATAATTTGATTATCCATTCATTTGTTGATGGACATTTGGGTTGTTCCCACCCTTTGGTGATTGTGAATGGTGTAGTAAGAGCATTTGTGTACAAGTATTTTTTTAGTACTTATTTTATTTTTGGGGGTACATACCTATGAATAAAATTGATAGGTCATATGTATAACTTTATATGTTTAACTCTTTGAGGAAACTGCAAACTGTTTTCACAGTGGTTGAACCATTTAACATTTTAATCACTGATGCATGAGGGTTCCAATTTCTCCACATCCTTGCCAACACTTCTTATTTCCCCTTTTATTGGATTATAATTATCCATGTGGGTATGAAGTGGTTGGTATATAATTGTGATTTTAATTTACATTTCACTAATAACTAATAATGTTGAGAATATTTTCATGTACTGGATGATAATTTCTATATCATATATATATATATATATATATATATATATATATATATATATATTTTCATACTAGGGGCCCAGTGCATGAAGATTCGTGCACTGGGGGATGTGGACGAGGGGGTGGGGGTGGGGGTCCGTCAGCCTGACCTGCACCCTCTCCAATCTGGGAGTTTCTGTCTGTCTTTGCAAAAATATGAGCGAATTGTCTGAGACCCCCCGACCCAGTTTGGTTTGTTGCTCACAGAATAACAGGGGCATTTTTTTTTCTTTGCTCCATTAGTGGAGATTTCCTGGAAGTTTGAGGTTATCTTCCCTTTAATTTTTCCTAGACATTCTGATTTTACTTATGTCTCTCACCTTTGCTTTCCCTCCATCCCCCACCACAACAGTAATTTGCTCCAGGCTCACTTTGCTCTAGGACAGTGGTCAGCAAACTACGGCTCGCAAACCACATGCGGCTCTTTGGCCCCTTGAGTGTGGCTCTTCCTAAGCCTTAGGAGTACCCTAATTAAGTTAATAACAATGTACCTACCTGTATAGTTTAAGTTTAAAAAATTTGGCTTTCAAAAGAAATTTCAATCGTTGTACTGTTGATATTTGGCTCTGTTGACTAATGAGTTTGCCGACCACTGGTCTAGGAGATACGTCTGCCACCAGAACTATGATTCCCAGCATTCTTGGTGCTCCCTGCGCTCTGGGCTTCCACTTCCGGTCCTGAGGCTGCCACCAGAACTACTATTCCCAGAATTCCTGTTGCTCCCCATGCTCTGGGTTTTCGCCAACTGAGGGAGCCACGTCCCCCCAAGCTTCCGGCTCTCCAGCTCTGCTCTGTGTACACAAATTACCCACCATCTTTGTCGGGTTAATTTGCATACTCACTCCTCATTGGCTTGTGGCCGTGACTTGTGGGTGTGGCTTGAGTGTAGTGGAGGGATGGTTAATTTGCATGTTTCTCTTTTATTATATAGGAAAATATATATATATATATATATATATATATATATATATATATATATATATAATTAATCCTCACTCAAGGATATTTTTCCATTGATTTATAGAGAGAATGGAAAGGAGAGGGAGAGACACAGAGAGAGAAACATTGATGCGAGAGAGACACAACAATTGGTCGCTGGGGATCAAGCCTGCAACTGAGGTATGAGCCCTTGACTGGAATCGAACCTGGGGTCCTTCAGTCCAGGGGCTAACACTCTATCCACTGAACAAAACCAGCTAGGGCTACATCGCATCTTCTTTATCCATTCATCCAGTGATGGACTTAGTTTGTTTCCATACCTTTTCACATATATAACTTTTTTTCTTTAAAATTTTAATTTTCTGTAAATTATTTCATAATTAGAATATAAAAAAATATTATATTTTTCAAGAAAAAAGTTCTGTTTATGAAAGGAGAGGGTTAGTTATGTGACAGAAAGAGCAGTCTCTGCATAGAACACCCCATGGAACGGGCAGGCACAAGGGAGGACACAAGGACTCCTTGCCCTGCCCTGGCCTGGCCAGTGGAGGCAGGGAGGAGCCCAGAATAACCTGCTCTTTCTTAGCTTCCCTCCACACACCAGCTTCCAGGAAAGTCTGTGCCAGACGGAGAGCCCACTGCTCTGGCCTGAGTCATGCCAACCCAGGCTCTGCTGCCCATCCTGCTTCTCTGTGTTCTGCTGCTGCAGGCCCAGGGAGGACCCCGTAATAAGAACAAGATGCAGAGTAGGTGATGGACTGGGGGGCTGGGATGGTGAGGGGAAAGGAGGGGCTGTGTCCAGCTAAGGACGACCTGGGACTTGAACCTTTTAGCACATCCAGCTCTGACCACAGGATTTTAATGACTCTGAGTCCTTCCAAATCATGGCCCTCCAGCCCTCTTACTGGGCCCTGGGACTAGTGATGGGGGTGGAGGACAACCTACATCTTTTTATTCTCCATTCTCAAAGTCCAGAGACATATGGTGCATACAATAGTGAAAGGTACACAGAGCTGAGAGTCAATTCTTTCATTTATGCACATATGTGACAGGTCAACATCCAGACATGTTTTGGGGAGTAGGTCTAGAACAGCCGTGGGCAAACTACGGCCCATGGGCAGGATCCGGCCCGTTTGAAATGAATAAAACTAAAAAAAAAAAAAGACCGTACCCTTTTATGTAATGATGTTTATTTTGAATTTATATTAGTTCACACAAACACTCCATCCCTGCTTTTGTTCCGGCCCTCCGGTCCAGTTTAAGAACCCATTGTGGCCCTCGAGTCAAAAAGTTTGCCCACCCCTGGTCTAGAATGAGAGAACTTTTGGAAAGAAAATTTTGACATGTTTCAGACTTCACTGAGTTCTTAGAGTCAGAGTGTAGATTCTATGGGGGTGGCTTCACCAAGGCCGTGACTAATATGAGACCAGCGTCCTGGCTTCAGGAGTATGGAAGGGGTCCAGAAAGCTCAAACATTAAACCTTGTTGATGGAGAATGGGGGTAATGGATTGAAGATACTACCAATCAGCAGGATTTGGTAAGGGGCAGAAAGGGAGTTCCCTGAAAAGTCCAAGAGTGTCATGAGTGGGACCTGGGCTTTGGAGTCATGATGAGAATTTAAGCTTTAGAGGAGTGTTTTGTGTGGCCTGGTTCCATTGACCTTGCTCCTGTTCCTTTTAGGTGTCAAGGCCTGTCAGAAGCGGCCCAGTGTATATCTTTGCAACAACCACTGTTCATATTTCCTAAAGTGTCCCAATTCCAATACCATATGCTGTTCAACCTACTGCGGGAATGTTTGCATGAACCGCCTGTGAGTGGGTCTGTGTATTCTGTTCCCCTAACCCTCTAAAACTGGGCCTGCGACCTTAAATCCTGGGCAAAAGGCTGTCAACCTCCTCACTATCTGGATGGCTTTTTTCTGTCAAATAAACCAGAACAAATGCCCTAGGACTGGCCTATTTTATTCCTAGTGCTTGTGATCATTGAGAACCTAGTGCAGACCCCAGCATGCCCCCATCTCTCTGGGTCTGGTCCCTGATCCCTCTCCTCTTGTCATGCTTCTCTACTCTCTCTCTCTCCCTTTGGCCCAGGCACTCCTGCCAGGCCCCCAGAGGCTTAGCCCTCTCATTGCTCTACTTACTGAACCAGTACTCCCAGGGGGAGAAACTGCTCATGGGTGGCCTCCCCCAGTGCTAAAGAGAACATCCTCACCCTGGAGTCACAAGGGCCAAGTTAACCATGAGCTAGGTGGAGGCTAAACCCTGGGGCACAGAGTCCGAGGCCCTCAAGGAGACCTTTTCTTTAACTTGCCCCAGCCCTGTCCCTGTCTTCTCCCTCTCCTTGTAAAAATCAGGTAACTATCCTATATAATAAAAAGGTAATATGCAAATTGGCAGGCCATTCATGATATGGCTAGAGGAGGGTGTTTCCTCTGAACTCCCTGTTTGCTCACATCTTCTCCACTGTGGTGAGACCATAGGCATGGAAATAAGTGCCTGTGCCAACCCCAAGTTTCCCCACTTTATCCTCCACCAGTATGGCCACTCTTAACATGGGGCCTGGAGTGAGTGTCAGGACCTAAGACTCCAGTGCCTTCCCTTCACTGAGCGGTCCCTACCTGTCCCAAATCCTCCTCCTTATGCCCTCATTCCCTCTCTCTTTTTAAATCAGGAGTGAAGCCATGGGGTTGGTTCCATTGTGATGCTGCTATGGATTAATGAACACAGGTGGCTATGAGTCTTGTCCCTGGTCTCATGGTGAGTCAGTGAGCGTAATCACTGGGTACAGTCTTCCTACCTCTCTGTGCAATCACAATTTCTCTGAAATGGTCATGGGGCTAGATCCAGGGCTAGATCCATGGGGCTAGATCCAGGGACTGAGTCCTGTGTGGCCAATCGGGATTTGGCATCAAGTATGGAGAACTCAGGCAGGCAGCCCATGCTGGAGGCAGGTGTGCAGTGTGACACTCCAGTCCAGTGCTTCCTGCTGGGCATCAATGCAGGAGACATCAGAGGAGGAAATCTGCCTCCATCAGGCCAGAGCCTCTGACCCACCTCAGAAGCATCACAGGGCTCCTGGTATTAAGGACCTTCTCCATCTGTATTAAGAGCTGCTCTTGGGCCAGGGGGCCTTGGGAAAGAGGTCATGACCAACCACCAGCACAGACATCATCAGAGTGGGTAGGTGGGTAGGGATGCTCTACAGCAATTCTTATTTGGTTCTTTCTCAGATTACCTCACTCTCCAACCATCTTCCTGGTGCTTGGCCTGCCTGAAACACCCTTGGAGAAACTATTAAGAGAGGCAGGGTTACATGAAAGCTCCTTGTTCACATCTTTTTCACCCCAATAGCATGGTGGGTTCTGCTGTGTGGCTACTCAACCACGAAATGTGCCTTTAGCCTCAGCCATGAGGCAGGAGACCTTGAGGAGGATAATTAGCTCTGTATGTCTTTTTAATAAACCTTGCCTTAAACTCAGAGTAAGTAGCTGCCTCCTCCAAAGACATAACCTTCTAAATAACTCCTACTCAGTGATCTACATTCTGATACTGAGGAAGGGCAGTCTCTAAGTGCAGAGCAGGGCATATCTCTATTGTGTGTTGTTTAAATGTCTTAAATCTTTCTAATTTTTGTTCTCTTTGACTTATCAATAATTGAGAAAAGTATGTTGAGGGCTCTTCACACAGCCATGGATTTTTCAGTTTATGCCTGTAATTCCATTGATGTTTGCTTATTATATCCTGATTCTATTGATTTAGGTAAATATGAATGAATTCCTGGCGGGTTGAATTTTTTATCATTATATAGTGACCAAATATACCAAGCACTGGAACAGCTAACAATGAAGGAAGGAGGAGATATCCTCTTAGAGGAGGCACTGCACTGTAAGATTGGAAAAAGCACAGAATTGAGGCTTTTTCTCTAGGAGGAAAAGGAAGACGTGAAAGGGGTTTAGTCCCCAGCTTTATTGTGTACTCCCTGTAGAGTTGGTCTCTGTCTTGCTTTATATCAAGTACTACTGACCAGTAAAGGTGTCTCTCAGTCAAAACCAGTTCATAAAGGCTGGGAGAGGCAGCCACTTCTTCAAATGTGCAGACAAGAAAGCAAACTTACAGGAACATGAAAAATCAAGAAAGCATGACACATCCAAAGGAAGAAAACAAATTTTCAGTAACCAACCTAAAAGAAATGGAGGTCTTTAAACTGGCTAACAAAAATGTCAAAATAATTATTTTTTAAAGCTCAGTTATAAAAGAACACAGATTCACAACCAAATGAAAAAATTTTTTAAATGACATGAATACAATGATACTGTCATCAAAGAAATAGAAATGATTAAAAAAGAACAAAACAAAAATTCTGTAGATGAAGAATACAATAAATAAACTGAAAAATTCACTAGAGGGGCTTCAAAAACAGACGTGGTCAAGCAGAAGAAAGATCGGTAGACTTAAAGACAGGTCATTTTAATTATCTGGTAAAAACTGAATTTAACAGCAGATTCAAAGGATTATACAACATGACTAAGTGGAATTTATCCTTAGGAAGGAGGCAACATCTACAAATCAATCAATGTGATTGACCACATTACCAGAATAAAGGATAAAAATCATCTGATCATCAATAGATACAGAAAAAACATGTAAGAAATTCATCATCCTTTCATGATTAATTTCTCTACAGTAAAGGTCATATATGACAAGCCCACAGCTAATATAATACATAGTTAATATCATACTGAAAGCTTTTCCTCTAAGATCAGGAACAAAACAAGGATGCCCACTCTTGCCACTTCTATTCAACACAGTACTGGAAGTCCCAGCCAGAAAATTACACAAGAAAGCGAAAGAAAAGAAAAAACATTCAAATTAGAATGGAAGAAGTTAAATTGTGTTTGCAGATGGCATGATAATCTATATATATAAAAGCTGAATTTGCTAAGTGTCTGACCGTTTGACTGTTTGAGCAGTAGCTATAACACGCACTGACCACCAGGGCGCAGATGCTCAACGCACAGGCATGGAACAGATGAATCTCAGAGGGAAGCGAGGTGGAGGGAAGGCGGGAAGAGATTAACCACAGATCTTATATGCATACTAGAGGCCCAGTGCACAGATTGGTGCACCAGTGGAGTCCCTCGGCCTGGCCTGTGCTCTCTTGCAATCTGGGACTCCTTGGGGGATGTTGGACTACTGGCTTTGGCCTGATCCCCGCAGGGTAGGCCAAGGGACCCCACTGGTGCACGAATCCATGCGCCAGGCCTCTGGCATATATAGAAAACCCCAAAATTCAGTTAAGTTACAAAATACAAAATTAACCAACATAAAGTCAATTCTGTTTTTATACACTAACAACAAACTATCAAAAAAAAAAAAAAAGAAATTAAGAAAACAAAATGAGCCGTAACCGGTTTGGCTCAGTGGATAGAGCGCCGGTCTGTGGACTGAAAGGTCCCAGGTTCGATTCCGGTCAAGGGCATGTACCTTGGTTGCGGGCACATCCCCGTAGGGGGTGTGCAGGAGGCAGCTGATTGATGTTTCTCTCTCATTGATGTTTCTGGCTCTCTATCCCTCTCCCTTCCTCTCTGAAAAAATCAATAAAATATATTTAAAAAACAACAACAAAAAAACACAAAATTATTTCTAATAGGATCAAAATTAATAAAATACTTAGAAATAAATTTAACCAAGGGAATGAAAGATCTGTACACTGAAAACTATAAAACAGTGATGAAAGAAATTATCAAAGACACACAAAAAATGGAATGATACCTCACATTCATAGATTGAAAGAGTTAATATTGTTTAAATATCTATGTGACTCAACATGATATAGATTCAATGAAACCTCTATCAAAATTAAGACATTTCTCACAGAAATAGAAAAAAAACAACACATAAAATTCATGTGGAGCCACATAAGACCCTGTTATGCCCAGATTTCAAGATCCCCCAAAGATCCACCAGGGAGCGCCGAGTCTGATGCAAAAGCATGGAGTCTTTATTCAAGCTAGCTCGAGCTCCCCCTCCACCACACTCGCCGACACAGCGGCAGGAGGCAGAGAGAGAGAGCTCTGTGGGGAGAGGGGTTTTATAGGGGGGTTGGAGTAAGGGGAGGAGAGAGGACTGTGGGCCCTGCCGATTGGCCAGGCGCAAGTTGGGGTCTTGTTACACAGGATGTGTTTGTGTCTATGGCGCACACTTCCCTTGATTAAATCCTAGGTGTGGCTAGCAGAGGCTTGGGCTTCTGGGAAGAAGCTCCTTGCTGAGCACATGGCTAATGGCTGCTGCCCAAAAATGAAGGATCCGGGGCAAGATAGAGGGCGTAGCCCTTGCCCTTTCATTCCCCCCTTGTCTTGAGACTTAGAGGCCCAATCATGGGTCAGTTTGCATTTCTACTTCACCCTCTGCTGCTAGAGGCCTGTACTGGGTATGCAGAACTATCAACTGAACCACCCCTATAAGCTTCTTGACACATTGGATTAGTCTGTTAATAATGCAAGGGCCAAAAGTCAACAGCATTAGGAGGATTACAAGGGGTCCGGCGAGGTCCGCTGTCTTCTTGAGGGTGATCTGCAGCGGGTGTGTCTGGTTAGAGGTCACCTTCCACTCAGGTTCCCTGCTGTCCTGGGCACAGAAGGAGCTGGGCTTGTGACCTGGCAGAGACAAACTATAGCAAATGGTCCGTGGAAGGGAAAGAAACCATTTTAGTTTTAACAACCTCTATTGAAATAGGATTTTTCTTCTTAAAATTCCTCTATGGCTATCAAAAAGCCAAATCAAGACTTATTTATCTACTGTATTCAATTTGGCCTGATGTTTGCATAAACACAACAAGAATGGTAACTGACTACCTTTGCTGGAATTTCATGATTGAATCTTAATGTGCCCCGTAGGGCCAGGAAGCCAAGCCATCCGGCTGCCAT